ACTTCTTAAAAATGGCCGAAAAATGGACTTTTTAATACGAAGCCACTTATATTGTCGACACCATATTAACTTAACGTGCAATGTTTTGAAGGTTGACATTCGTTACTTTAATCTGGTACTGACGATATGTATTCAATAGAAATGGTGAAGCTATACTAGGCGTATTTGGCTTGACTTTTTTTTTTTCCATAACTTCATTAATTAAAGTCTCTAACATAGTTATGGTACACAGTAAATCTTACTAAGTAGTCCTGTATGGTTTGTATACGAAAAAAAAAGTCGGAGGTCGATTTGTAATTTTTATATATTGATTACATCAATACATTTGTTTCTAAATATTTCATTTACTTAAAAAATATATTACTGCAAAAAGATTAAAGATAAAAAAAATATCGAATAAAGCGCCTTATGTATTTTAAAGGAAACCCATCCCTAATGATGGGTATAATGCACCATCAAAGACTGTTCTTTTAATATTGTAACAAGAAATTTACCACATTTGAAATATGCAATAAGAAATTTCATACGTCTTTAAAAAAAAAAAGTTTCAAGTTCTGATGAAAAGTAGTTATGAATCCAACAGGCGCATTTGATCTACCATTCCGCATTACAATTTATCCAATGTTCGGTCTATTGAAATAATGCAAAAAATAAAAATTGTTAGTGAGGAATGTAAACTATTTGAGTAAGCTATCTATTTCTATTTTATTTTTTTTATAAATATATTTAATTTCTAATAAAATAAAAATAAACAGGCCAAATAATATTCTTCAGACCGGCAGACCTGTTGACTGCCAAGATCGGAAGTGAGCCTGTCGCTGAAAGGCACTCCAAGTTTCAAGAGCCACTTCAACTTTCACAGCCGTCTGTCGCACTACATTTGAAGGGGGCCATCGGCTTTCAATATCTTGTTTGTGTTTTTAATTTTATAAACATATGTTTTATACACATATAAATATATGTTTAGTTTATTCACATAATATTTAAGGAATATACACATATATGTATATAGGTATATAAAAAATCAGTACCACTAACAACCCATGAAGGGTCTCGGGTTCAGTACAATGTGAGAAAGTACTGTTACAAGTCCAACGGTTGTGCAGGGAGGTGATGGGACCCATATCACGCTCAACTGTCAGGTTTTCCCTCTTAATCAATTATTTAATTAAGAGTACCAACTTTATATAGGCTGTGTTTGCCCTAGGACGGTCTCCCGGCCCTAGGGTCGACCCACGACTGATGAAAAATTTCTAGTCATCAGCCGGATTTGAATCTGCAACCTTGAACTCTGGAAGTCAGTGCTCACCCACTGAGCTACCCCGCTCCCCATTGGTATATAAGCAAAATAATAATTAAAAAAACAAACTTCACGCTACTAAAAGCACTTAAAATAACAACTTTAACACAGACAGGCTTATATTTATTTAGGCTGTTTTTGATCCGATGGAAGTAACTATCATTCAAAATTATTTGTAGAAATCGTATCTGCTCCTCCACATTAACTGTACCCAGTTGATACCTGTTATAAACATCACTTAAGATGCCTCGGTTTTCGAACACTAGACCTTCGGCCAACTCTGACATGTGTCATCGTCGGGAAGACCAACACTCCATAACCGTCCTGACAGGTAGAGCAGCGGCCTCTACAAGAACTGGCGCCCGCCGGAGTTGAGGGTCCTGCCAACATCTGGTTCTGGCCGTATTGGATTTATATGGGTTAGTGTGGGAGGTCGTGTCTGGGCCCTTTATATATATATACTTATATTTTCTTATCTGTGGGTGGAAATTGATGTTATATATTATTTATTATCCATATTGCACATTCAATTTCATAATGTGCATAACATAACATTTGTTTAATTTTTTTATAAAAGTAGTCTAACTATATTTAAATAAATATATTCATAAATAACAATAAAATATGGAAAAGGAAATAAATCAATTGAAAGTAAAAAAGAAAAAAATCATAAAATTAAAGGAATATATGAAAATGTTCGGAATTGAAAATAAGTTTTTAGAAACTAGAAAAAAAAATTGCTAAAATGAAATAAAAGGCGAAATAAATAAATATTATTTAGGAAATATTCCTAGATTCCTTCCTTATTTTTTTGCAGATTAAAAAATAAAAATTATTTCCGAAAATCTAAAACCTTATATTATAGGTAATAAATAGTCAGGACGCAGTATTTTTAAAGTTTTTATTAGTGCGAACATTTTCAATCCAAATTCATGTATCGTCCATCACTATTTTTTCATTATTAACCATTATCTGTCTTATAATATTATATTTCTGATTGTATTAAACAATTGATAATGAAGATGACCCACATGTTTGGGTTGAAACGTTGCCACTAATAAAAACCTTAGCAATGACTGCATCCTGACTATTTATCACCTATGATATGTAGAACAGTCGATTAACTTCCTTCAATAATTCATTATAACCTTATATTAATAAATTACATTACTCATACTTGTGCATAAGCATAAAAATTCTGAACAAAATTTAAATTAAAAAAAAATTGTAAGAAGCTATGAATTAAAATGAAAAATTAAAAGAAAATATATATTAAAAATTTATAAATATATATATATATATATATATATGTATATATATATATATATATATATATATATATATATATATATATATATATATATATATATATATATATGAATAAATTAAAGGCAAAAAAAATGAGAAAATATATATATGTAAGTGAAACAATTTTTTTTATAAAATTAGAATTATAAAACCCTCGTAAAAATCTTTAATTTAAAAATCGAAACGAGAGGAAAAAGAGGAAAGAAAAAAAATAAAAGCAGGATTTTTTTTTTAATTTTTACATTTTGAAATATATTAAAGATTAAAATTTTTAAAAAAAATGTTTTTAAGTGCAACATATTTTTTTTTCATAAAATTGAATTTAAAAAAAATTTTAGATAAAAAGCATTGCATTTAGAAAATTAGTAGAAAAAAAAGACTTAATAAAGAAAAATTGAAATCTGATAAATCTGCAATCTATTCTTATATGTAATACGGTCATTTTTTGCAGAAAAACCCCTTTCCTCAAATGGATTTTGATGAATGAGGTATGATAATAAAGGGAATTTAATTGAGAAGTAATGAATTAGAGTCACATCTTCCCGTAATTTTAGAAAAAGAAACTTTATTTGGGAATAATTCAAAGAGTATATATATTTTATTTTTGTTGATTGCACCCATGATTATATGAAAGATTACTAAATTCTCTATAAAACAAAAAAAAAAACGCTACTACTGCTAGCTAAACTAATGCATATACGTTTTGTTAATTATTAATAATGAACTAATGGGATTCGACTAAGAAAAATAAAATTATTTCCTGTATCGTATAATACCTTTTACTAACTTACTTAAATATATATTATATCGCCAATTGTTCTCTGACCATTATACTCAGCTAATTATTCGCACGGGCCAACTAGTAAAATAATAATTTCCGTTCTAAATCTAATGATTGCCACTATAAATAGCTAAGAGTTACAGTATCTAATGAACCTCTTCCATAGGAACGACGGCCAAACTGTTCCACATTTATCCTCCCGTTAACGCCTGCCACATCCACTCGGAGGAACTACCTACCACAGCAGGCGGCGCTAGCTTATTTTTGTCCCTTAATGGCTCTAGTCTGCTCTCATCTCATTTAAAACTTGAGAAAGGATGTCGTGTCTCGTGGGAGTAGTTTTTGTAGGTGCCCTAAGTTGGTTAGTTGTTTTGAATTTTAGGCGCAAAATATCCAGATCACCAGGGCCCGATTTACAAAATAATACAACTTTTAATATATTATATTATAATATATATAAACTTTTTTCTAGGTCTTGATGCTTGCTATCAATATTTTCTACTATACTCCCGCTAAACAATTGACGACTCCGTCTAAACTTGAACGGGCCACCGGGATTCTCTTCTACTAGAGTTGTTTAATCTTTAAACAATTCTGTCTTAATTTTTTTAAATATTGAAATATTAATCTGCATCTGTTGACGGATTGTTGTCAGATCAGCAGATGGTTTGATAAAAATAATTAAACTGACTTGTAAAGACATAAGGAAAGATAGCATCCATCGGTACCTCTTCCCTGGCTTGATTCGATTATCATGGTTTGTTAAGGAAGGTCTCTCATCCAGTAACACTTTAGTCTCCTCCTCGTATTGATGGGCATGACAACTGAATCCATTTCTGTTGTTATTATGTTAGTAAGTTAGTGTGAAATGGTTTGTAAAGAGTCTAATCCCTGGTACAGAACCGTTTTTTATTAAATTATTAACATCCACTTAAAACATATTTTTTATGTAGGAAAATTCTCAGAAATGGGGAGTTTTCTAATTAATGTAATTAGTATTGTAATAAAAATTATAAATACTCATTTGCTTTTCACTTGAATCACAAGATAATTTGAACAAAAAATCGAAAAAAAATTTTGGCCTAAAAATATTTGTCCGTTTGGCCTATGTAATCTCGTTATTTTGATTTGACATGTAGGGATAGAGGTCATTTTAAATGGCCCAATAGTTTTGTAGGTCACCTTTATTCTCGATTTCGTGATAAAATTACGACAAAATTAACCTACTATTCAGTGTTGTCCGTACCTGATTAAATAGACAAAGTTTGATGATTTACAAATTTAAAAGGCCTCAATCTCGAGAAGTTTCTCAAATATACAAGTTGTAGGTTACTATGAGAGGAAGCTATTCATGAAATTTTAGACAGATGTTAATAATTTGATAAAAACAGGTCTGTACCAAGGAGTAGTCCTTATGTGTTGGTCAACTGTTAGTAGTGATGGAAATTAATAAGCTGAGTTTTCTTAGTCACATACTATGGTGCTTTAGTTATGAATAGTTTCAAGTTTTTATGAGGTCTTTTTATTTATACCGTTTATAAATTTAATTCACATTTTTAAACAAGCATACATCCAAAAGACATGTTAACACTAAACGGCTTTTAAAAATTATTATGTAAAGCAGAAGTGGGCTGAGGATGATCCCTTGCGGGACCCCCGTACCCTCCCATGGGTAATCCTCGAGAAGACTACCTGCGAAAGACACCTGTAGAGCCAGCGGTGACAGGCAGACAGGTAGGGCAGGTGTGGCGCCGCTCGGCCATTATCTCGAGTGTCGTGGTCTCTTAGTATTCCAGCGGACCTCTCTCCAGGAGGCTCCCAGCCTATCTTCTGGGGAGTCATCTATCTACGATGTAATGGGGGTGCGGGCAGGAATAATGATATCAGGTTCTTTGTAATCTTCTTATATATGCCTAGGATCTTGGCAAATTAGTAAGTACTTAGCTAGTGTGTAATGAGCGGTCTTTTTCTACGTGTCGCTCATGTAAAAGTAACTTGAAAATGCTAAGATAAAATAAACAGGTACAGTCGGCGCTATGTTTATCTAGCTTTCATTCATCGAACATTTCGCAACCATAAAGAATCTTTTTTTTATGAATGTTAACTTTTTTACTGATAACGGTAATAAAACGCTTAGCTAACCATAAGGTTCGATGCCGATAACACCAATCGCCGTTTTAAATGAGAGTACCCTCTTTATGTATGGGTGTGCTCCAGGAGGATCTCCGATCCTAGGATCGGTCTACGGCTCATGAAACAGAATAGATAATTCATTTCCATACGCCAGATTCGAACTCTGGGCCTTGAGCACAGAATCTATGTGCCTTGCCCATTTTGCTATCCTGCTTCTGCTTTATTTTATTTCTTTTTATTGCTAAAAAGAAATAAATTAAATACAAATAATTGGTTTATTGTTAGTATTTGGCATTAAATATAAATAAAATTGATCTTAACCCAATCCTTCCATCTCTTTCGATACCCACATAAAATTAAACGGTAAAAAAATGCGTCATTTTAATTATATTTATGAGCTTATTTTCCTATGAAGATGCCTTCAAATTTAAGATTGGCAGATACCCGTGATCTGCACTTCTTCACCGTTTTAATATATACCTTTTCCAATTGGTGTGCCATCTATAAAAATAACCAACGTGTTTTATTTTTTTTTAAATTAATCATACTGTTCTATAACCTTTCTCAACATTTTTAGGCTACGGAAATGAGATCACCGATTTCTATGAAACTTTTTTTGGTTATATTAGATCGAAAAATGTTAGAAATATGCTTGCGGGATCTTATTCTGGGGACTGACAAAAGAATTATATCTTTTTATAATATATATATATATATATATATATATATATATATATATATATATATATATATATATATATATATATATATATATATATATATATATATATTTACTCTTGAGAGATTAGTGGTTTACAATCTTCCAACAATAAACTTTAAAAAAATTTATATTATTATTATTATATTTCTTTTTTTCACACATGACACGGTTCTTTTTAATAGTTGAGAAACAACGGTCATTCAAATATTAAATTAGTATATTTTAAATATTATTTTACATTAGCGAATTTCTTATAAATTCTCAACACTATCATTTGCCTTTTTTCTAGTGTCATAAACGGTAAGTCAAGTTAGCCCAAAGAAGATTGAGATTTTATGTGGTGTTTTTAAGGAATATATAATCCTTTATACTTTGAAGATTTAATCAATCTCAACGACGTTTCCAGCTAATTTGCTCATTCTCAAGTTATCAAAAAATTGTTAACTATAAAAACCTATTTCTATATTATAATCTCATTAAATATACATCTTTGGTAATATCTTGGTCAATCGTTTAACTTCAGGAATGGACAAGTATTATAGTAAATGCACATAAAATGAGATGAGGAACAGTGTTTTTTTTTTTTTTTTTTTTTTTTTTTGTATTTAATGTACTTAAAATAAATATTTGATGAAATTATAATATAGAAATATGTTTTCATAGTATCAAATTTTTGGTTTGAAATTTTGATGACTTGACAATGAGCAAATATAGCCCGAAACGTCTTTGAAGTTGAATATATCTTAAAAGTAAAAAGGATTGTATATTCCTTGAAAACACCATATTTAAGAACATTGAGTGATCTTGATAAATATTACAGTAGTAGCTAAAGATTGAGATTTTTCCGGTATTAGTCCATTGCATGAAATTGTCAAAGTACTACCTTTGACACTCTGGCTCTCCTTTAAAGCATACAATTGTTTGGATTCTTCCGCTAATTCTATATATATATATATATATATATATATATTTTTTTTTTTCTTCCACTACCTTGTGCAGATTATCATCTGAAGGAACCCCAATTATTATTATTATTGTATTATATACGACAGGGGCGTGGTACTATATCACTCCTATAATAACAGAGGGCCTAGGCTGTCGGACACAGAAGCCAATATAGGGACATATATTACTGTCGCAATGGGCAACAGGTGGAGGTGGACCGGTTTTGCGGCCTGCACCTGGGCGCAATAAGATGCGCTTTGCGCTGTCCTGCGCTTTTTATTTTATTTTATTATATTAGAGTGCACTCTAAATGAAGTTGGTCGTCGTTGTGTAATTGCTTTGTAGAAGACCTCGTTTGTTGATAAACACCGAGTAGTTAATAGATAAGGACGATATTTGCAACTATTTTATAAAATTTATTTATAATAATGTCATTATTTCTAATTTATAATAAGGAGTTCAAATTTTCATTAGTATAAATCTAAAAAGAATGAAGACGTTACAATTACAGAGTGAATGGAGAAGGTTCAATTATCATTCTAATTGGAAAGAAAAGTGAAATAAAAAAACTACAAAACTTAGCTATAAAAGTTGTGTTCTTATAAAAAAGAAATAAAACAGAAAACATACATACATTAAACGTCAAGATATAATTAGAAAATCCTGAACACAAAGGCTAGAGTTAATAAAATTAAAACATCTATCTTTCGCCGATCATTGGCATCAAAATCCTAAATTATATACATGCCAACGAAATACGATACTTTTCTTATAAGCAAACAAAACAAAAAAAATCTGGTGTGTCCACTCTCACGTGTTTCCTACCTATTTCAGAAAAGTATTTATATCTTTATATATGTCCATCGAGAAACGAAAAAAAATTTAATTACATTTATTTTCCTGAAAATTGATTAAAGAAAAGGTTGAGTACGATTTATTTGATAAACCAAAGCAATGTAAACCGGCTTAAGGTAGATCAGTATAAGAATTTCAGTACCCTCTAATATTACTGATCAAAAACTTTTTTCCAAAGCCTAATTTTGTCAAACAATAATTTCAGTTAAAAGTTAAAAGCGAAAATAATGAAGCTTGTGGTATGCGAGCAACAGATTTTCTTACTTTCGCTTAGTTACCTTTTTTCTCACATTCACCCCTTTCTGACACCAGGATGTGAACCCATAATCTGACATTGGAAATTGAATAGCTATAACTTCGTTAATATTTGTCCAAAATAAACGAATTTTATATAGTTTTGTAGCGAATTTAACTACCTTTCAAAAGTTTTATTATACATTTTACTATAGAATGTATACTTGGCTAGTTAGGGCTCAAAACATTTTTTTTTTCTTTATAAATTTTTTTCCTGAATTTTCTCGGGAATTTAGTCAATGTACGAAAATGGAAAGGAAAATTATTAGAACATCATAGGAAAGTTTCATCAAAATAGTTAGAGCCGTTTTCGCTCTACAGTCTACAGAATAACATGTTTTTCATTTATTGCGCAGCAGTTTTTGCGCATGGAGCACCCAATTTGTTTCACAGGCATCAATAGTCAAAACACTACAAAATAAAAAAAGAAGCAACAAAATCGGGTCTCTAGTTCCCGAGAAAATCTTGGCACTGACAGACAGACGTTTCTCCAAAGTAATTATCGTTATTTTAATGAAAATAAAAGCTTTCGAGCTGAAGCCCCCTGCCTCTCAAAATTAAATCCCGTATCCGCTAGAGGTCGTTTGTAAAGTATTAAACTAAAATTTGTTCAAATAAAATTATTTTTTGTGAAAATTGAGTACTTGCTTGAAAAATCCCTGGAATTAATAGTGTTGGTAATAATGCTTGTATTATTATTTTTTTCTTCTTGGATTTATCCAAACTTACCTGAAATCCACATTATTTGCTAATAAAATTACTAAATATTTCGTTTTATAGATTAGTTACAGTTTCAATCTATCGAACAATATTTAAGTTTTGGTGATACCGACATTTCAAAGTCCGATATATGGACCATTGTTTAGTGTTGTTTCGTTTCCTATCAAGATTTTTACAATTGCACATAAAATATCCTAATTATTGCAAAGTAAACGAAAAAATAAACCATCTACGCATCGGTCTATAAAAAGTTTGACCGATAAAAGAGCACGATATCTGTTTCTATCTGTCAAGTTCCGTACCGGTGTCGCTTGGAAAATTCTCTTAATCGCTGAATGAAAGTGATCTAAAAGTTAGATCTATATGTAAATCTTATTACAATACAAGCACAATCGATCTCGATAAAATTAGATCAAAAGACCCATATATCGGTAATCGATATCTGCTCAAATTTAATTATATATTGATCCCTTGACGCATTATAAGCAATAAGAATATTGTTTCCCGAGAAACTCCATAAATCTGGATAAAATAAATTGGTAAGGCCGATTTATCGATCTTTGGAATATCGATATCTCCTCAAGTTTATGCATGTCGATCCCTTAACAATAGATTGACAAGTTTATTAGCAATAAGTAGAATATTCGAGGTGAAACTTTACCAATCTCAATGAAATGAGGTCATAAAGTCGATATCGGCCGATACCGGTAATCGGCAAAAAGACATATATGGGGATATTACTATCGGTATTGGTCAATCCGTAATTAATACTTTTTTTTCATATTTAGTTATTTATTTTCTTTTTTAACCTTTATTGACTCTTTTGAATTCCGCCATTAGTATTTTCGCAGCATTGGTGCTGTTCTAGGCGATAAGTAGTGTTGCCCAAAATAGGTCTTGGTGTTGCACTTTCCAAGACCAAGACCACCTAATTGTTGTAGACTGGTAAAAAAAATTGATTTTTTAAATAAAAATTAAGGGAAAATAGTTACTAATACTTCACAATCTTAGTAATAATTGGTATAACCAATATACTTTTGCATTTAACTTTTCTAATTTTTCACTCGGGTTTAGTTAGGTTTTTCCTATCTAAAAGGTTACAGTAATAACTCAATGGTAATAAGCTAATAAGTAACTGCAAGACTCTTGCGCAAGACCAAGACCATGAGTTTGT